TGTTCTTGGTCACCGGATGTAAAACTGCATTTCTTTATTTTATTTGTTTTATTAGGACTCGTCTGTGAATGTACATGGGCTGGTTCTCATACAGCACTTTCCTACTGTACCTGAGCACTGAGCGCTTTACACAACATGCCTCGTTCTATGGGTCAAATTGTGGTCATAAATATTTTGTACTTGTAAATCAGTTTTGTAAGTGTAAAAAGAATTTGTGTGTGGCCAAAAAATACGTGAGAAACTCTGCACTCAAGTTTCAAGTTTCAAGTTACAAGTATGAATTTTGACCCTATTTTTCTTCCTTTCATCTGATTGGCCAATGTCATGTTAATCACAAATTTAACTATCCAATCAGAGAACAGATGGGTTTGGCTGTCGGAGGGGCGCTTTTCTGAACTGCAGGTCCTTGAAGGGTGATACAGTTTAAAGCTGGAGGATCTCTATGTAAATATCTGATAGCAGTTAGTACGGTCCGGTCCGTGGCGCAAAAAAGGTTGGAGACCGCTGTTGTAGAGGACATAAAGTCAGAGATAGAAACGACAAGGAGCAGGTGCATCTAGTACAGGTAGAGCTGCTGCAAACACCCACAGAGCTCAGCAGCCAGCAACAAATTCTGGATCTTTGGCTTTTAGTTAGCATTAGCATCACATGCTGCATCTGATGTGAAAGGACCTTTATGCTGCGCACTGTTACTCACAGCAATGGTCCCGGGTCAGCCCTGACTTTATGTTAAACTAATCCTAAAGTAATAATGGTATTTCTAACCACTGATATGCCACAACTTTATCCTAAGTTAGAGGACCTAACTGCTATCAGATATTTACATAGAGATCCTCCAGCTTCAAACTGTATCACCCTTCAAGGACCTGCAGTTTAGAAAAGCACCCCTCCGACAGCCAAACCCATCTGTTCTCTGATTGGATAGTTAAATTTGTGATTGACATGACATTGGCCAATCAGATGAAAGGAAGAAAAACGGGGGTCAAAATTCGCACTTGTAACTTGAAACTTGAGTGCAGAGTTTCTCAAGTATTTTTTGGCTGAGTCCACACACAAATCCTTATTTACAAGTACAAAATATTTATGACCACAATTTGAGCCCATATCGTTCACTGACTCATACACTCATTTTCTTCTGTGCTTCTAACAGTCACACTCCAGTGGACGCATCGGAGAGCAACTTGGGGTTAGCATCTCACCGTGCAGATGGGATCAAACCACCAACTTTCCAATTAGTAAATACCTCTATGTCAAGGACTTTTGACAAATAAAATTGGACTGATTGATTGGAGCCAACAAACATTTCAGCTGAGCTCTACCTAAAGCTGACTGAGCGAGAGACGCTCAGACATCTGCAAACATTACTGATCCTTCCTGTCGAAACGTTGCTCATCAGTCCCCGATCTCAGATCCAGCTGAACAAACTCAGAGTGAACTTGAGCCTTCAGAGCGGGGTCAAAGCGTACAGCTGTATATGGGAGGGTGCGCTTGATTTACAAGTCAGAACAAGAACTTTGTTGTGAGAACCCAGTCCTTTTGTTTTTATCATTGCTGGAAGTCAGGATGGTAACTGAACTGAAACATGAAGAGTTCAGCTTTTGTTTGAGGAAAAAAAGAAATAAATGTAAACTTTTTGGTTTTTCCGTGTCTCAAAGATGCCGACGCTGCCTCGACGAGCGTTTGCAGTGATTTACTGCAACAGCTGCTCGAGTTGGAGCTCATTTTGAAACTCGAGGGAGAACAAAAAGTTTTGGATTCTTAAATCGTTCACTCTTTCTCCATCTGTGTGCTGCATCACCATCACTCCTCGTACTTACTCCGCTGCATTTTTCAGGCACGACTCTGGCATCGGTTTCCCACAGCGATCTTCCATCTGAGGGGACGAAACACACGAGTTAGACCTTCAGACAAATCATCAGGCTCACAGGAGTTTATGTAACCTTATTAAAGTTGCAGTAAATTAATAAGGCGATCTTACCGGGCCCTCTCTCCATGAAAACAACCCTGGACTGAGCGGAAATGTTGGGTCCGGTGATGAGCAGCTCCTCTCCTCCCTCCACGGAGCCGCTGGCTGGACTGAAGCTGTCCACCTGAGGGAGCTCCTGACCTGAGCGCTGGGCTGAAAAGCAACAGGTTTATTTTAGGACTTTATTACAGATCCCTGTGCTGCAGAGGAAACCGAACGGAGAAGGTAACTCGAGCATTAACAAACATGCAGCATATTTTTGCCTCTGCGTCTTCTTCTACAAT